TAAATAACAAAAACTGATGCCATCAAGCCCATGCGGTAGAAATATGTATTAACTAGACGTGCATTACTTTAGAAAATGACATGTTTTTCGTGTAGAAATAACGCTTTGCTTATGAAAAGAACAGAAAAACTTAATGCCATTGCTATCGGAGATGGAAAATTTGGGCGTAACTTTTAGATCACTGCTGATGTATCGTTTTCAGAGACCCTTGACACACGCTACTTTAAAATTAATTAAATGTATGCATTATTAAGAATATGATGGGGAGTTCGTGGTTAAACGCGGTTGATGTTTCAAACTACAATAATAGGACGGGTTGAGGGTATGATTTCATATTTTGAAGCTATTAAAATGCTACGAGCGCTCAAGACGAACAAACCCCTCACAATCCTCCGGGGGGTAAAATATGCAGACTTACCAGCCACTCAGTCAGCACAGTAACGATCAGGCTAAAGCAGACTTTAAAATTAAGGCAGAGCTGGAAACCAAGTACAAGCAAACGAAGGCATGACTAAGCGTATGCGAGTTGCCGACCTTTTGGGAATCTAATGAGGCTGCAAGATTTGTGGATCTACAAGGTGAAAGCGAGGTGGAGAACAGCAGCGCAAAAACAACAAAAGTGAGATGTTGGAGTTTCCAACCAGGATTTCACAACATGTTTAAGGACTTCTCCGCTAAGATTTCATCACAGTCAGACACCTCAAGGGAAATGCTATCCAAGTGACTCGAGTGGAAAATGACCACAACGACGCCCTGGTCGGGAAGGCGAGAAATAGATCAATCTAGATAAGGTAGTTACTTACAACAGGAAGTAGTTAAAAGTGGCGAGAAAATGTAGATCCAGAGGCTCAAGAGGATACCATGGGTGTTGGTCAGAATGAAGTTAAAACCAAGGTAGTTCAGACGTTTTAGTAATTTAGTGAAGGAAAGTTCAAGCTCACAATTCATAAGGAAGAAATATCAAAACGATTGTAGACAATCCAATCCAGTGCGCTTAGGAGAAGTGGTGCAATGCAAGCTTGAATGACGGCATGGATATCAAAAGATTACAAACCAAAGAGGAGAAAAGCTTAATGAAGACCGACAAAACAGGACTGCTGGGACTTTTAAGGTGTTGGTTTACCAGCATAAACTTCCCCTCATGAATTGGCCTCTCATACCGTCCGAGGTCACCACAATTACAGTAGAAACTCTTGAAAGGAAACAAAGAAATGACCTTGCAGATGGTCATTAGTACCAACAAGTTTCGCCAGTACATCAAGACAGCCAATCTAGCTTCCAATACCATATCAATGGTGGAGGAATTAAACGTAGCTATGACGGTGGTTAGGAGTTTCAAAGACCAGCAGATAAGGAGGGATAATCAAGTCTGCAACAGAAAGGAAGTGATCGGTAGTACCACCATTCACCAGGCAGAAAGCAGCTTGAGACACAGAAACCATTTTGGTAAATGCATCGACAGACAGAGACTCGGAAATCTCATGTACAGGGGGCTTCATACCAAAGGGAGACTACCACCCAGCTTTTACGCCATGGAGGATAGCGCGATTGCGAAAGTGCGTTTCTGCTAAGTGAGATTTATATGTTGAAGGAATGCAATAGAAAGATCAAACTATTTACAAAGAAATAACAAACTGGTGATTCCTGACACTAGTGACAGAATGCATTGAATGACCCTCGTACACTGGTGGTAAACACAATATGCAGTTAGTAGGAGGAAGATCCAAGACGATGTCGGAAATATGGAGACTAGTAACACACAAGGACGGTTTACATGAAGAGTCCAAAATATCAATCTTTAATATCCTCTCCTCATTTTATTTATCAAGACGTTTGACTTTTCGACTCTTTACCATACCTTATACCTAACTGAGATACTGACTTTATTGTCTTATAACGAGAACTTACTTTTCCAAGAAAGATGAAGGCCATTATTAAACAGTTATTATTTTATCCATCATGATTTATCGGGGAGTATGCTAGTTTTTTGTGTGATATGAAGGTCGATTTTGATCATGCCTTGTTGTCACTACTAAGTTCTCGATATTAAGAAAATACTTTACTTGCATATTGCCTTAGATTACATGGCGGGTGTTGTCGATGAAGTAGGAGACGCTCATATCGTCTTTCTGTTCAAATTACGGTTTTGGTGATTCTTTGTTATTCGTTTTCTGTTTTCGTTTGCTTTGTTTTTAGTTATCTGATGGATGTCTGAACAGTGTGGAATTAAATTCCTTCTACGAGATATGTATGACATGTTAGCGAACTGTCCACTGTTTGACCAACAGGGAAATCTAGCTTACGGGCAACATTGTTGATTCGGGGCGGTGCACATGGAGACATGATAGGATTCTACGAAATTGAGCAAAATGCTGGAGACTAAAAGACCAAGACGAGACGTATATATAAACACACTCACATGGAGACATGATGGGATTCTGCGAGAGTTAGCAGAAACGCTAGCGATTAAAAGACCAAGACGAGAGTTACAAAAGAAGACACTACATCATCTTTGTCAAGTGCAAGCTAATATATACCCGGACATTCTGCTCTGGTCATGGCAATTGAGGGAAATATGATGGGGCGGAACATTCCCTGGAAGGAACCATCTGAAGAGGCATACGGACGCCATCGTAAAAGAAATTACAACAGCCTCTCTAAGGATGCCGGAGCAAAATGATGGAGTGTCTTCCCTGTCGATATGAGTTACATGGGGGTTACCCGTACAGTACAGTACAGTGGAGAATCAAAGAATCATTGGGCATCAAGGGAAAAACACAACAGCAAAGAAGTCATACAAAAGGCTCTTATTGAAGGAAGAGGACAAAAACTGGAAGCCATATCTACTCACAGGCACAGCGACCAATCACTGTCGACTTTCAATGATAAAAGTCGAAACGCCCCCTGAGTAGTAGACGTGTCTGATGACATTGGTGGATTTTTGCAGCCAAACGATTGTATAAAACACTTAACTTTAGTTATACAAGAAAGATCAGTTTACGTTAAAGATTTAAGGTTCTATTAGGTCGTCGCCTGAGACAAAGTCTCAAGTGACCTATTTCGACCGCCTTTTGTCCGGCGTCGTGCGTCCGTAAACAATTTACATTTTCGACATCTTCTCCAAAACCCAAGAACCAATTTCAATGAAATTTTGCAGAAACCTTCCATGGCCAAAGGTCAACCAAAATTGTGAATTATATGGTTCCCAGCCCCCAGGGGCCTGAGGGGCGAGGCCAAAAAGGGTCGAATTAACTGAAATTTCAAAAAAAAATCTTCAAGATCCAGATATGGTAGAATCAAGTACTCTTCATAGATAGAAGGGTCTTAAGGTGCTTTACCAAAATTGTGAATTTCATGACCGTTGGGTCTCACGTTTTCCCCTGGGGAAGGGGTAAACTTTACTATAGTTTAATTGTGAATTATATGATACCCAGCCCCCAGGGGCCTGATTGGTTTGGGCCAAAAAAGGTCAATTTGTCTAAAATTTCAAAAATCTTCTTCTCAAGATCCAGATATGGTAGAAAGATGGAAGGGTCTTGAGGTGCTTTATCAAAATTCAGCTAACTGATAGAACCACTATTTGTACATATATTTGTAGTACATATACTACCCAGATCTTTCACACTGCTTTTGCATTACATGTAGTTCAAGTTACCTTTGTTGCAAAATAATTTCTTTTTTATTTGGCAACATCAATAACATCAGTTTTTACATAAATCAGGTGACCGTTAAGGCCCATGGGCCTGTTGTTTAATTTAAGCTTCTTTCAATTTTACTTTCTTCCTTTGACTTCTAATTCCTAGGAGTTTCCTAGGCATATTACAGAAACAAGACATGATAGAATCTAACACCACTTCATGTAATGTATAGTACAGCAGAGTTGTCCTCCTTGATGTATGACAATATACTCTCCGGGTATGTAATGTTGCCTGCTGCAAACAACTTATTGATGTAAATTTGAAGCAAATCATTTCAGTTCAAAATGACCCTTTGGCATTTATCAGACCACCAGGTTCACTCCTTAGGGTGTGGTTATCCATTCGAAAACCTAGCTCTTACAAGCAGATCAAAATGAGCCCTGCCGACCAACACAACCATCGAAAGACATTCTACACTTACAATTAGTTGGTTAAAGTTCAAATATTTCATTTATATCTTTTCTTAAAGATTTCAAAAATCCTTCTAAACAAAAACAACGCAAAAACATCATCAGTATTGCCGTCTAACACTCGAGTTTAAATTTCAAATGTGGATAAAATTAATTTAAAATTTTGAGAAATACCTGTAGTCCAATGCGTACATATGGCAAAATAACACTTTGATATGGAAATAAAATACGGTTATTAACGTAAGTGCCCAAACCAACCTTTTTGCTGAAATCATGATAATAAAAAACTGAAGGCACTGAAGTAGTTTCTTGCTTTCAAATCACTCCAATGTTCCTTCAAGGCAATACAAAAAATGTGAAATTCTAATCATGTACCTACATCACCAAAACAAGTAATTGGGCCTGAGCAAAGAACCAGAGTTTGAGCACAAAAATAGTGCATGAATAAAGGTCGTAGTTTTCACTATACAGAACTGGTTTGCAATGAGTTTACATATAAAGTCTGTCTAAAATTCATTATATAATTTTAATAAAACTATTATTTCAATATTTGCCTGTATCAGAGAAAAAGCAAGACATTATTTAGATGTTTTTTAGCATTTTTATTTTAACAATTTTTTATTTCATTTCATACGTCATATATATAAATAGATATTGTACAATTTTTTATCAATATAAAAAGATAAACAAATTCTGATTTTTAATCAGAATAGCCAACATGCTTATGGTCTATGATGAAATGATGTCAAATGTTTCATGGTCCATCAGTCTCCAAGTCACTGTTTTCCATATCACACTGTTTAAATGTCGCTCCATTTAATTATTTTTTTTCATTACAGTATAGCACTGACAGTATCTAACAATTCAAATTGAATACAATTTTTTTTCGAAATATGAAAAGTAATTTAAATGCTAATTTGAAATAGATCTTATCGTAAATTTGGCCTTCAACAAACATCAACACTAAATTCGACAGCACTTTTTCCAGAGGTTTGTTTGAAGCAAGTCACTTTCCTCTGTCATGATTTGAAAACTAAGTCACTTTGAAGCGATGCCTTTTTCTTTCAGTCAATTTGACCTGCTCATCATTACAGTCGTCTGCCTGAATCTCCTGTGTTGATTTATTTATTTTTGTCTACACTTGACTGTCTGTTTATTTTTTGGTGTCTGATTTCTCTTCATTGTCTGTAGTTTTTTCCTCTTCACCTTCCTCTGCTATGGGGGATTGCTTTCCTGTGTCTGCCTTATCCGTGTCGATCTGATCGGCCTGCTTCTTTTCCAGGTTTTTCTTTTCCTTTTCAATGATGTCGTAGAACTCCTTCTCTGCCTTGTCATACAGGTCATCCTCTCCTAAATCGGCCTCCTTGTCCTCCTCGTCCTGTAAGTCAGACAGTTCAGGATAAGTATTTACAACAAAAAAATCAAATTTTCCTTCAACCTGTGAAATTATCTCATGGGACAAAAACATCAACAAACGATGAAAGCTTGGAATCATTTCATTTAAAACTTAAAAGAAATAAGGAAAAAAAAAAAAAAATCCTGTCAATTTATCGAAGGGGTAAAGGGGTACATTAATATCATGGATAAAGAGACTTATAATATTGATCAAATCATTTCCAGGACTGGACTGTGTTTGACAATATAAGAAATATTGATAACTATTTTACATTTTTATTAATTCACATTTGTATATCGAGAAAATTCATCTTCTTGTTATGTCCAAAATGCAATCTATTTGATTTGAGTTATATTCAAATCAGATTAAAGTTGGTTGAAAAAATTGCTATTGAAACTTTCTGGATACACTTAAGACATTTTCAGCTCAAAACTGTACCTGTACAAATTACACATACCCAAAAATCACACAATTGTTTACTAAGTAATAGAAAATTTGTGTTTCTATTATTTTGTTTGCCTTTCTGTTGCTAAGTGCAGTTTTGTATGACGAGACATTGACATGGTTACCTTGTCTTTATCCGCTGAACTCTTTGATCGCTCCTTAAGCTTCATCTCTCTGTGGCGAGCATCAAGGATCTTCTCTCGCCTTGTCTCTCTCTCAAACATCTGTATAAAGAGGAAATATAGTATGTCACTGATTGGTACATGAAAATGTTCATGATTATCAAAATCCTTGACAATGAATTTATTCCGTCTTTGAAAATATTACTTCTAACCCCTCCCCCCAATCTTTTTCTTTTTTCTTTTCTATTCTGCATAACTCCAATATACATGAACTTTCAAAACTGATATTCATTGAAAAACATATACTATTTTTGTTCAAAATCATTTCTAAAATGATTTCACTCACATAAATCTTTAGTAAATGAAATTGCAGTCAATATTCACTTTTTATTTCATCATGCCATATTTCATCAGTTAGAAGCCCTGAACCGCCTTGTTCAACAAATTTTACAGATAAATGTCAAATATGAAAAGGAAACATTGCAATATTATAACTTTTAAGTTCATGAACAAACTCAGTTCCCATTTTAACCCCATATTTAAGGAATAGATCGACCCTGATTACACGAGCCCTTTCCATTATTCAGAATGCCTGGTTTGTCTCCTTTAAAGGAGCTAATTAACTGGGCCCACTTGTATAAAACATCTCAACTCTTGAGATTTCCTCAAGTCTAAGATTTCCCATAGACAATACATTGTTTGAGATTTTCTTTAACTTTGAGATGTTTTATACAAGTGAGCCCTGGCATATTTCAACTGTAGGTCTCGAAAGTCTTTGCTCACCAGAAAAAACATCATGAAAGTTTGACAAACCAAACAAATTCTATCAAATTTGTCAAACCATTTTGAACACATTAAATGAAATCAGTACATGTAAGATGGTAACATCATCAAGAAAAGTGCCACATTTCAAGATGGTACAAATTATTGTCAGTATACTTACTGCTGTGACTAAGTTCTTCTCGTTCCTCTGTAGCGTACACAGGCCCTCGGACAGTTCCAGTAAAGTGGTAGTGCCTGAGCGAGATCCACATGCGATCAGCCGCCCTGCCTCCTGTACCTTGAGGCTGTGTAGAGGCTCGTCACAAACCTGAAACCATTATCCAACTCCCAATAACATTTATCTCAGAATAAACTGAACACCATTTTAAAGTTGTTGTTTTTTTTATTTAGTTGAATATGTTAAACCAGCCTAAAAAAAAATCTGCAACAGTCACTAACTTTTAATAGTTGGAATTTTTGAAAATGTTTGCTTCATCAATTTTAGAAAATCTAATGTTCTATTTAGTTGTAATTTTAGAAACTGAAGTGTCAGAATTTTTTCCTTTCTTATTTAATACATTTATATGATCATGGTCAAGATAAAATCTAATTCCATAAAAACTTTTTTTATGATTTTCCATACTCTTCTCCATCTAGAACTGTATTTACTGTGACTGTACCTGTAGACTAAGTGTGGGGTCGCTCTGTTTAAAGATGATATCCCAAACATCCAATGTGCCGTCCATTTTGGTAACAAAGAACACTGAGGGCCTGATGGGACTCCATGAGCCGTCCGACAGGTAGGAGGAGTATTGTCTGTAACAGCAGTACATTTCACTTAATATCACATCGTTTCATGTCACTTTCCTGTCAAAATCCTGTATTTTACTGATTCACCGTTATTCCTGCTATATGTACTTATTCTATGTAATGAAATTCTGTTATTATCACTTGTTTTGATGTGGATTACGCTTGCACCATGGTTTAATACACAGGTGAACCTTGACCTTTCAACTCTATAACTCCAGAACTGTGTTTAATTGTTTCACTTGCACGTAAATTGTTGACAAATATCATTTTGTAATTTAAAATGCTCATTATACTGTGAAATTGGGTCTTTGTACAGAGGTTTAACATTCTTGCAACAGCCAAGGTCATATGACAGGTGCCTAGAGAGACACTGACGAAAGGACTGAGTAGGGAAATGATAACAGAAAATACTGAAGATCCAATATGGTGCAATGGGGGCACCAGATCAATTATGGTGAATTTAATTAAACTAGGTCTTCTTCTTTTTTATATAAAAATGCTATATTTCGACCAAATAGAGAAAATCTGTAGAACTTGTTTCATCTGTCAGAGGAATTCTCATCATTTGGAATATAACCATGTCTAGGCTACAAGCTTAGGCCAAGTGAAAAAAGTGAAAAATGGAATGATAGGTAAAAATATTATTTCTTGAATCAATTACAAATGTGTTTTGAACAAAGATCATGATTTATAATTAAACAGGGCTTGTTTAAAATTACCAATACAAAGTGGAAAATGAAAAATGAAAAAACAAAATTTATTTACCCTCCTTAATGTATGAAAGTAATATAAAGGATATCAGTTTTACTGTCTCAAAATCAGAAATTTCAAACATTAGAAAGAATTTAAATCAGGAAGTTTTAAAAAGGTAAATGAGACATCTGTCATTGGGTGGAATCTTACCGTGTCCACATGATTGAGGATTCCCTGATATCTTCAGACCAGATCTACAACAATGCAAGAGAAACAATATCAATATATGTGACTAGATTTAATACCTGTTCAGTTCCCTTGATTAATCCATCAATAAAATTTGTTAAAATGAAAATAAGAGTGATATCAAAGTCATAGAATGATATGTAAATTGAAAGAAAACTTATATGATTTGGTCTCAATTTCTTTCAAAACTTTGTATACCATATAGAGAAATATTAGCCACATTGACTGAATTCAGAAATCAAGCAAAACTTAGACAAACTATGCCTTTATATGTGTTAGTCAAAAAGATTTTGTTTGGAAATATATACTTAGTAACAAACTTTGAAAATGAAATAATCAAAACCATAAGATTATGTAATGCGCGTTAGTGCCTGGGTATATATTGGAAATCATTGCAGGCAATGGGCTAAATGTGACAAAATTAACAGTATATTTTCTTACCCTTGCTTTCCAGTCACCCACACTAAGGAAGTTTTTGGGGAAGAATGGATTTCTTTGTAAAGAGTAAACTGGTCCTAAGTGACCATGGTATAATGCTACAATTTTTTCTGCGGGTGTCTTGGCTTTTCTGTTACATGACATTATCGTTCCTGTTTCACATCCCACCATAAATTTTGTTGGCTGAAAATGAAGAAAGAAACATGATTAAGAACTCTGCAAGTATAGACAGGGTTTTATCATTGTTCACACAATTATTGGGCCTTTTTTCTCCATACATAAGTGTTAATTTATTTATTTTACAACAATTATGAAACAAGTTATATCAAGTTAAATTAATCACTCTTGTTGGCCTGGATGTTAGCGAGTCGGGGGTCTTAATATGAGAGGAAACAGGAGTACCTGGAGAAAAAAAACCACCCCATCACTTTTCATGTCTGATCCAGGAATTGAATGCCAGTGTTTTTGGTGAAAGACGAGTGCGCTATCCACTGCGCCATCTGACCACCTCCGTACAGGCTATCACAAATTCAATTAACATTTACATTATCAAACTTCTTAAATATTGCATTCTTTTGTTTCCTTTTCAATATGATTCGATTCTCAACTTCAAATTTCAAAGATATCTTGCTAATTCAGACATTGAATAAAAAAAATATGACAAGTTTTCAGATATAATTGATACTCTTAGACTGTCCAAATAAAACCTCACGAACTGTACATACCATAGTAGGTTCATATTCTAGGGCCATGGCACCTTGTGCTTTTGTTGCATCTTGTTTCTTTGTGGGATCTAGATAGAGTTTCTCGGTTGGTTCACCCATTTTACGGGTATCCCACCAAAGCACCTGACCGTCCGAGGAAGTGGAGAAGCACTCTGTGCCGGTCTTAGACTGAATCCAGAGGGCTTTGTAGGCAGGGTCCCTGTGGCTGTGTTCTATGGGAGACATCTCGACAGGCTGTGATCCTTTTCTGGTGTCCCAGTAAGCTACATACAATATGGATAGAAATCGTAAACATACTCTATCGTAATACAAAATTTCATTTTCCTCTAGCAAAGAATTTTCAAGATTTTCTCACTATTGGTTATTTTTTGTCTCCATTTCATAAAGGATAATAAAAAGAAAACTATTTATAATATTTAACAAACGCACTTGAAAAGTTTTCAAGTTTTCACTTGAAGATAATATCATTTTTGATAAAACTGTGCGAAATTGTTTTGGTAATTTTCAACATCGTAAATTATTACAACAGTGCTTCAAATATGAAGAAAAAGATTGAAACTCGTCCTATCTGACTCCTTCATATTTTGACACTGTCATATCTGACATAAGGATGTTATCCAATTTCTTATAAAACCCACCACATAAAACCTGTGTAATCTTACATCTAGTGTATACAGGACTATTTCATGTAGGTTTTACCTATAATATGCCATGAGTGTAAGTGAACACCTCAACACGTTATGAAAATTTGTTTGTATATATCAAGGGAGATGCAAAAAAGAATCATTAAAGAAGATATTGAAAAAAATTGGGAAAAACAGAGTTGGCAAATGAAACGAAGGTATAACTAGGACTTATTAATTAAATTTGGATTTAAATGAAAAATGCTTGTTCCATAACTCCCCCACAAGTTAGATTAACTGGAGACACTTACCAATCTGACCGTTGTAACAGCCACCTAGCAGTACGTGGGAATCTTTAGGATTGTATTCTAAACACACTAACGGAGACACTGGTTTTAGTGTCATTTCTGGTTTGTTTGGGTTCTCTGAAAATAAAGATTTAAAACATATGAAACATTTGAATTATCTCTCTACCAGCTGTATACAATGTACTAACAAAAAACCTATATTGCTATGGATTTGCTACTCTTGACTTCCCTCAATCAATGTACCTGTAATTCTTTACTTCATTTTCAGCATTTCTTAAAAAATTACCAGACTTAAAACAGGAACAATCTGATGCATCGTTTCCTTTCCAGCACTTGTAAGCTCTTTAAGGTTACATAAAGAATCTTAACTGTATGCTAACAATGATTTCTATAATGTGACCTTTTCCTTAAATTGTGCACAAAAACAAATCCCAATCATATATTATTTACATTTTGCCACGATACTTTTTCTGAATAAAAAAGTAGAAATGACAGAGCACCATCAAACAATGAAATTGGAATGCCTTTGACATGTTATATTTAAGTATGGAAGACATACCAACATCCCAGATGTAGGACTCCATACTGGTGTCGGGACTGGATCCCTGGAACTCCATGTTACAGTAGGCTACTGCTAGCTTCCTGGGGCCGTCGGGGAACCAGGAGAGGCTTGTTGCTGTTCTCTTGATCTCATTTGGATCCCTGAAAACCACAAATTTTCATGCTATCTCTTTTACAGATGAAACCTGTCTAATAAGATCCATGAGTATTCCGACATCCTGTCTAATTCAACAAAATAATGTAATCCAATTTCTGATGAAAAGCGAAGCAAGACATTGATGTATTCCAACATCTAGTCTAATCTGACCTATACAATGTGTCCCACAGGGTGTTAGCATAGACAATTTTCATTGGATAAAATATATGTTCTTAGCTTACCTGAATACATTTATAGTTTTGGCTGACGGGACTTCATCCACAGTATCTATTTCAATATCATCAAAGTACTCTTCATAGATGTCAATGGCATTGTTTTGCTTGATGCAGTGTTCCATAACCTAAAACGAAACAAATAAAGTCATGACTGTTTCAAAATGATTGATACATAATTATCAAAATTAATGCATTAATAGCAGAAACAACCATGAAGAGAGCCATTTTGCCCTGAATCCCTGAAAACTAAAGCTGGTCCCTTAAATTTTCAAATTTATTTTTGTTTTACGTAGAAGGGACCTTCTTTTTATATAGAGTAAAAATTGCTGAAAATGGCCTAGTTTCCAGGATTATCACTGTGAAATCCTGCATTTCAATGACACTGAGGAAAACTTTTCACGGTGGTAACTCTGTCTCTAACAATTAAATATTACACATATCAAAAACAAAATGTCAAGAAATAAGTCATTTGATAAACTTGATCTCAGTTAGAATTTTTTTTTTTTTTTCTGAAATGACTTGTTAGGTTGAGTACATGATTAAAAAACTTACTGTTGAAAGCTGTTGAATTGTGTTAATGTACATTTCATCTTTCTCCACTTTCTTCCTGTATCTGGTGACCTGTTCAACTTCCTGTGAGTTGACATCTTTGGGCCAGCCACCCTCTGTATGGTTCACTCCCCGTGTGCTTGTTTCAAACCTTTCTGTGTTGACCTGTAGATCGTAGCATTAAAATTAAAACATTGGGTTCCTCAAGTTTTTATCCAACAACAAAATGATCTTCAAAACACCTGGAAATTTTGTTCTTTCAATAATTTCATCAAATAAAACTCTTATCTACTGAGGAAACATAATGCACTATCATTGGCCCTTCATGGCATAAAATGTATTCATGAAACATGCAGTCTTAATAATTATACAGTTATAAATACTGTTATGTAAAGCAATGCTTTCAATTTTGAAAATATGAGCGCAGTGTATTGCTTTTCAGGGATCGCAGTATATTACAACATATTTGTTCAGTATAGGCCTTAGAATATACCTCATGTTCTGACATCTCTTGAACATGTTGGAGTCCATTGTCAACGGGATTCCTCTCAATGAAGTTTTCTGCTTGTGTTGCATCTGGTATTATGTCTACATGAAGTTCAGCAGGTCTGTCACTGAAGTTACACTGGCGACCAAACTCACTTCTCTTCTTTGTATATACATATACTATCTCCATGATGGTAATTTATCCTGTATTTATGAAGAAAGCATGTCATTTTACTTCAAACTTAACCAGATACTCTGTAACTTCAACATGAGTATAGCATTCTTTTATAAATTAAACAAATCTATTTTGTATAATGCATTTATTTCTAATGTCCCATAGTAGGTTGAAACCTAATGTCATCCATGTAGCAAATACATACTGCACTTGTGTGCTCAGTAAATTATTTTGTCTACTGCAGTGCTGTACTGTGCAGTTCATCTACTGTCAGTACTTATTTGTAACATTGTAACTAAGGACATTTCATACAAGAAACGCTCCTTTCTATTATAATTTGGGCATACAGTTTGTTGCAACTACTATTGAAGTGTTTTTGGTGTACTATTTGAACATGGTATACATCCTAAATATGATTATGATACTCAGAAAAAAACAGTCGACAACAAACAAAACATATCTGACATTTTGCACGTTGTCAGTGACATGGATTCAACTGATTTTAAAAGAAAAGAAAACATTCGGCCACGTATTTGTACATAGTCTCCTTTAACAACAACTGGAAATAAATACTGGCAAGGATGACACACATAAAAGACTGAGAATAATGCACTTACCCTGTAAAAGCACTATACAAGTATTGTTTTTATCTGCTTCATGGAGGCAGGGATAGCGTAAAGTTGTCAATGGATACGAGATTGCGCGCGTTTCATTTCCGGTGAGTTGTAATTACAATCTTTAAACATTAGCAAAACGAACTAATTTGTACTAATTGTAATATCGTAAAACCTCAGTTTGTTAATCATAAAAAATATTTTTCGTAAATCTTCTTACATAAAAAAATTAAATTAATGTCAAAATAAACCTATAATAACGAGAATAAATAAGTTTGTTTCGTTTTATTTGGGAAAGGAAACATTTCGGTTTATATAGACAACAAAATGGCGATGTCCATGATTCAGATGATCGACACTATTTTTCAACAAGCAAAGTAAGAATGGCATTTTACCACTCATATCAGACATGACAACTGTGTTTCAAAACACACAAACATGTACAAATCTTTCTTCTGTATGTTGTTTATGACGTGCTTATCATACAAATATAGAATAAAACGTTATTCAATAAAAGTGGGTGTGTCCAATCATATAACAAATTTTGATTTGTTTACATCTGTACATGGCTTACTGTTGTCATTACTTGTATACCAAACACGTATAAAGCATAACATTGGAATATACTATTGTGATAGAAAATACAGAACCGATCAATTACGCTGATTTTTTGTTAAAATGATTTAGGATTAGTTCAGATATTCACAATAAAATCACTCTAGAAAACAACATATATGTAAGGTAAGACAAGATGTCAGAATGTACAGGCATTTATGCTCATAAGAGACAAAATTTTGCATCATAATGCACAAGTACAAGCCTTGTCTGTCTAAAAATAAAGGGCATGTCTCGGATAAACATGGATAGCGGATTGATCCTGCACAACACACCTACTGTACATATATTTATAAACTACATTTTGATTTTTGATTTTTTTTTCAAAAAGTGATGTCCCCAGATTTGGGACTTGTGAAAACCATGTTACCACATCAAAAAACGAAAAAAAACCCATGATTTTTAACCCAAAATTTGACCCACTCAAGTAGTATTTTTTTTCTTAAACACTGTCTTAAATTAAATATAACCTACTCGGTAACAGAAATACTCACGTTTTAGCATAGGTCGTTCAACTGGATCAACACAATATTTACACGTGTGCCAAGTACAAAAATAGACTACACGAAAAGCTAGCTTTTGTTGTGTAGACACAGAATTGTAAATGGCCAAAAATGTAGTCACAAACCAAATTTTTTTTTTTTTTAAATGTGAAGTCCACATAGTCCACTTCATCATGTATATGCCAATTTTAGTGCTGATTTTTAGCTCACCTGGCCCAAAGGGCCAAGTGAGCTTATGGCATGGTGCGGCGTCCGGCGTCCGTCCGGCGTCAACTTTTTACTTTAAACAACTTCTTCTCAGTAACCAAAAGGCCTAGGGTGATGATATTTGGCCAGAAGCATGCTTGGATGAAGGGCTACCAAGTTTGTTCAAATAAATGACCTTGACTTATATCCAAGGTCACAGGGGTCAAATATGTTAAAAACATTTAAACAACTTCTTCTGAAAAACCAAGAGGCCTAGGGTGATAATATTTGACCAGTAACATGCTGGGTGAAGGGCCGCCAGGATTTTTTCAAATAAATGACCTTGACTTATATTCAAGGTCACAGGGGGCAAATATGTTAAAAACATTTAAACAATTTCTTCTGAATAACCAAGAGGCCTAGATTGATGATAGTTGGCCAGTAACATGCTGGAATGAAGGGCTACCAAGTTTGTTCAAATAAATGACCTTGACCCACTTTCGAGGTCACAGGGGTCAAATATGTTAAAAACCTTTAAACAACATTTTCTGAATAACCGAGTGGCCTAGGGTGATGATATTTGGCCATTAACATGCTGGGATGAAGGCCTACCAAGTGAATGACCTTCACCCATATTCAAGGTCACAGTGGTCAATATATGTTTAAATCTTTAAATGATTTGTTCTATATAACCAAAAGGTCCAGTGTAATGATATTTTGCCAGATGGATGCTGTGTTGGAAGACTATAAACTCTGTTCAACCTAATGTCCATGTTCGACATTCAACATCACAGGCGTCATAAAAAATTATGTTTAAATCTTTAAATAGGTTCTTAGGAATCAAACACTGATATTCTGCCTGTAGATGTATTTTAGTCCACTTTTTAAGATTACAAGTGTGAGATTAATACCAGGTGAGCGATGCAGGCCCATTGGGCCTCTTGTTTAACTTAAGTATGGTGTCATTTTCTGTTGTGATTAATCAAAATGATTTGTATTGTGTGATAAATCGGATATGATCTTCGTTTCAAATTTAAACTACCTGGTAATTGTTATTTTCAATAATATTACTTTAAATTTCAGAAATGCAACTCAAGAGGAAATTGACAGTATTTGTTCTAGAATTCTTGACAGTCTCTATGTACCAGAGCAGTCTGGAGAAAGCTTGAATCTTTTAAGACAACTATTCCTTATTCTGCATGTATCACAAACAGAGCCATGGTAAGTTAAAAAAGAGTATGTCGCCCTGGTAAAATACTAGCCAATTCCTACTGACATGACTAACGTCACAAGTGGTACATGGTCAGAAAATGGTTCGTACAGTACTTTAAAAAAAAATGTGAGCGTTTTCCTCTGACAGTATAACAAAAGAGACTTTGTTTTCAGGAACTTTTTAAGAGTACACAATGACTTCAAAGTAAACATATCAGAAAGCGAGTAAAAAGACGTACGTTGACGGAATTTAGGAACATGTTGAAGGGGTTAATTATAAGCATGTTTAAATGTTGATTTCTGGTCTTCATAAACAGATAATATAAAAATGTATATATACAATTGTAGTTCAGTATGGTATTTATAAAAGCAATATATTTTGTTGCAATAGGCACATCAACTAGTAGAAATAAAAACAAGTTTCATAGCCTGTGATATTGTGTATTAATTTGAGTATTAATCATGGCAGAAAAACAGACGAAACATCACTGCGAGTTAAGCGTTATAGTTTTTAAAAACAAATTACTTGGAATCAAAACTTTTTCTGAAAATGAAAGATTCATGTTCAAATCATGTGTCAAGAATCAAGAAACATTCCAGATACATGATCTGAATTTTTAAATATCACTCAAAAATTGTCAAAGTTGTACCAATTGTGGTAGCATTGAGGTTAGGGAGAATTTTTCTTAATCTCAATCTATAGAGCGACCAGACTGGTAAGCTAGAGGTCCAGGGTTTGATCCCAAGTAGAGTCAACCATTAAAAAATGGCATCTGTTAAAAAAAAGAAGGTTTATTTCATTAATTGTTTTAGTATCAGATTTCAATAAATGAAACAAGTGTTGTTATTGGGGAAATTACAGGGAATACTGTCACTGGCGCTATCATTACTGTAGGTTTTACACTGCAGATACCGGTAATACTTCAGTACACTAATTTTTGACATTTGTTTGCGAGGACATTAATTCATGTTTCAATCAATCAATTTGTTTGTCTTATACCTTTAAGTAATGGTTCCTGTGATACATCAATTTGTATTACATGTACAATGTAGTTGCTTAATGCTTAATGGGAATTGTAGGTCATCTACAGTATTACAAAAAAACATAATCTGCTCTCAGGTATTCCGTCTTTGCGTATTGCAGAGTTATCTTCTCTTGGGAGCAGGGATTGATTGTTTTGTCACTTGTTTGTGAGAGTAACGTCATCAATTTTTGAGAAAACGACGTAATTTTCTCGCACAAACCAATGACGTAACAATCAATACCTGCTCCCAAGAGAAGATAACTCTGCTATACGCAAAGACGGAATACTTATGTGGTAAAACTTCAATATAATTGGGTAGTAAAACTTCAATATAATTGGGTGATTAATTGTTATCATTTCTTTTGCTATCTTGTTCAAAGATAAAACAAATATCCAGGTCTCCTTTACACTTTTAACCCTTTTAAAATGCCAAAAGTTTGCTGGAAAAACAGTGTCGTACTGTATAACAGGGTTTTACTGTAGAACATGTTTGTCAATAAAGAAACTTTGTTTTTGATTGTCTGGTACACATTTTACTGGTTTGATGTCTTACTCACGTGCCATTGTCTATGTAATAAAGGACTATGTATGGTTTGGGCCTGTTTTGGCCCCCAAATGCATCAAAATTCAAAACCTTTAAATAAACTTTGAAATTAATGTTTCTCTAAATTCGAATACTTCCCAAATATTATTATGAAAATATTTATTTATATTTCTAATTATTGTTGCCATGGTAACAAGTTCAAATTTGTATAAATTAGAAAAAATTGAATATTCAGTGAATATTGTGATATTTTGCATAGTTTTTCTCCTAGAAACTATAGAGTGCATGCTTGAACAAACTTAATATCAAAGGATAATGTGTAGGCACCTGTAATACATCTTTAGGAGAAATATAAAGTTTGTTCAAGAGTGTGCTCTATGGTAGATAAGAGAAAAACTAGGTGAAAACCTGTTAAAATTGACTGAAAAATCAAATTTCAATCATTTATGCAAATATGACCTGGTTACCATGGCAGCCAAAATTGAAAACACAAATAAATATTTACATAATAGTACTGGGAAAGTATTCAAAATTAAAGAAACATTCGTTTGAAAGTTCTATTGCAGATTTTTAATTTTGATGGATTGGGGGGCCAAAAAAGGCCCAAACCATACATAGTCCTTTAAAAAAACATCAAAGTTTAAAAAAAATATACGGATTTTGTTTTTTGACAGCTTACCAAAGAAGTTCATTGCCACCATGGTAAACATGGTGAGTTCTATGGACAGAGAAAAGACCAAAGAGTGTTTGTTGTGTAAACAAATGATGACAGAGTTGTTACCACGGGAACGAGAGGAACTGGGGCCAGACTTCTACACAGAAGATGAGCGTGTCGACCCAAAGTCTGTGGCCAACTCGTTCACACTCTACCGAATCCAGGTCAGTGTACTTCGTTTCACATCATTAAATGTATTTGTGTCTGTGATTTTATCAAAACTGTATCACATGTCATAGAAAGATTCAATTCATCATTTTCTTGTCTGTGTTATGGGCTGTTTTGAATATGTGATACTGCTAGATCTGCACAAGTCATATTCTGGACTTGACCCATATTCATCCTCACAGGCCATTTCTGTAGCCACATGTCATAGCTGATTTCCTTCTAGTTCAACATATTCAGAAAATTCCTGCCTGAAATATATTTGATTTGTTTTATTGCTGATTATTTTGAATATTTACAACGTGTACCAATATATATGATAAAATATTACCATTTCCATATCCTACCCAATATCGCTGCGAAATATTGATACATGTACCAGCCCGAGGCGTTGGAGGCCAGTAGGCTGATACGGGTCAAGCAACTGGTTGATTCAGGGTAGGATATGCAAACGATGATATGACAACCTGTAGCTATCACATGGCTAGTACTTGACACTGAATAAAACCCTTGTTAATTTTTTGTGCATTTCCTCCTGTCATATGAGATGTCGGAATTGGTGCCATTGTGACCTATTATTGTACACAATAGACATATATCAAGAACTGTTTAAGGACATCTTTTCTGTGAATATCTTCAAAAGGAATTTTTAGTACCAGGTAATTTGATATTTAAAAAAAATCTTGAATTGTTTCCCTTTCCTATGAGATTAATGCAAGTCCACCCAAACGTTGTTTTTCTTCTAACAAATTCAGTATATTTCATTGTTCACAGATGATAAAATTAAATTTCTGCCTCTAAGCACAGAATTGGTTTGAAGTGAAATGTGGTATTTAATGTTAAATTATTTCAGACAAGAATACGCTGTTACAGTTACCTGGTAATGTCTGTTGTAAGACAGACTCTAAGACCAGAAAAAGAAAAGGGGGGTGGGGGGGGGGCACGGATGTGGGTATGAGAAGCTTATTAGGTCAAATATGATATGCAAAGAAAGTCTTTATTTATTTTAAATTTAATGTGAGCAAACTTTATTCTTTGTACTTTTAGGGAAACAAAAACAAATGCATTGAAAAACTGATACCTCAAGCTGTAAGGTGAGTTTTTATATCTTAAATGTTTTATAATATAAAATTGCATCATTCTGATAACTCAATACTTGGCGATTAAGGGCTTTTCACAGCTTTGCAGTTTTATTAATTTCCTTGTCTTACCCTATTTATATACAAAAGTTCAGAGATTTACCCATGTGGACATGTTTGTATAAGTGAATATATCTATAATGAACAGTCTATACTTCTGTATTACCAACAGGAAAACGTTCACTTGTTGAAAAATTTGGACCTTTACACAAGCAATGTGCTCTACTTTTACCACAATATAACACTGCAAGCAAAAAATGAAATACATGAAATAAACTCAGCCTAACATAGTATATACATTCATGTAATTACATTGTAAAAACTTTATTTTTTTTGTAAAACCCCAGCAGGCATAAACTCACAATATCCACACAATGTTATAGTGATCTGCAGTATATTTTTGTAAGAAATGATTGGCTACAATGTTTGTCTTTTGTCTGTAGATGGATGACAAGTGAAAATGTGGAGCCTATGGTACAGAGACAGGCGTTCTCCTTCCTCGTGGCAGTGTCTCTCCAGCACCGACTTCTCCTTACAGAAGGTAACCTCATTCCTCATTGACGAAATATGTGGATCAATGTGTTCAATCTGTTTACACAGAATATAACCTTATATATTTAAATGTGACTAGGCTTCAGGGTTTAATTAACAGTGATTGTAATCGGTCTCTATCTATACATATGATTCATATTAGAATTCAGGTTATATATACCTTTCACTTTATAAGTATGATTTATGTTAGAGTTATCTCCCTTCCAATACGTTTAATAGCATTACAGTGTTTATTATGGTTATTAAAAAATGCCAGAGTGCTGTAATAGGGATTTACGTTTCAAATGTATCAACAGTCAATTCAAAAGTTCCAAATCATTCCCAGTCAAAAAGATTTTTCACACCATTTGTTTGGCATGGAACTGTTTATGAAAGGAGACAGAAAATCACTGGCGGTTACCATATATCCTTAACTAAAATCAAGTGCACCTGGTACATATTACCTATGATAGACATCTGTATGTTACCTTTCTTCAACAGAAAATTGTCAAATGTATAGCCTGTTGATTTTTTTTACATTAAAAACCCAATTGATCCTGTAATTATAGACTTTGTGTCTGTATATTGCAGGCAGTATCAAACAGTGTAGTAGAAGTATGTCGGAGTGGATGATGTCCGCGAGTCTACAACAGGCCCCCAACCCCTACACCATCAAAATATTCAAAAAGGACCAGAACAGTGTGGTTACCGAGGTGGATGGCACACCAAGCCGAAACTTCTTCACCGTTCTCAACATTGGTGAGTATAACAGCTTAAATGTTTGTTTTCCTATGTTATGAAGCAGGTACTTCTTTCCTTCAGTACATGAACATCATTTTTTATAAAGCAACACATGCATATGTATGAAACCTGTAAGAATGTGTATATGATCTTGTATCTTCAATTTTCTTTTGACAAGAAGCCACATTATTTTTGAATTCGTATCGGTTGATTGATTGATTGATTGACTTATGGTCCTTAATAATTGACCTTCTTTCCACTATAATCAACCTTCCGTATTTGGTAGAGATTGATACAAAGATTTTATAAACTTTTTGCACAAAAAAATGTCTTGTTTCAGTGATAAATTATTCAAATTTCACATTTTTTCCACTTGTTTGGAGAGGCTTGAAGAAGCCAAAACAGTTTTGAGTGTCTAGACTTTGTTTATTGACTATGTTGTATGGTTAAAAGTAATTCAGAAGGAAATTCATTTGAGTACAGGCTTGCACATAAGACTGCGCTCTTGAATATGAGCCCAGGAATTTATACTAACCCCTTGGTATCCTTGATTACAGGCCAGTACTACACAGAAGATCAGTTCCTCAATATCTACAGCTTCTCCATGCTTTATAAGTGGCTACACCACTGTTTCTCCGTGGAGGCTTCGTCCTCGGCCAGAGACGGCGACCAATCAGACAGCAGCTCGACCTCATCGCCTGTCCACAGGGTTTTCGATATCCTGGTCAACAAGTCCATCGATTACTGCTTCAGAATTCTTGACCAATGTGACCGAAGTAGGTAATTTTCCCTCCATTTGGATCACGCCTTTAAATCATAAAACTTTTAAACTTTTTGTCAATTATCAAAATCAGATTTATTTTAAGGGGTAACATTTTAATTGAAACAGTAATAAGTTGATGAATTTACGTAAAGAAAATACCTCTTGACTTGAAATACTGAATTAATTACTGAAAATCTAGAATAGTGATTGAGAAATTTTGTTTTCTCTTACAGAACCGAAGGTACCATCTGATCAAGATTTGCAGAATGCTGTAAGTCAGATCTTTATTACCTTAATTTGGTCAAAAATAGACTGATATGTCCAGATGAAAAAAAGGTCAACAACGTTCAGCTGATTCAAAGAAGTCTCTCTCATGTATCCATCACTTTTTAATTTTGAGACTATTTATATCCTTGACTTTGTTTCAGTGTCTCCTTGCCATTGATCTTATTGTAGTGTCTCCTTGAGATAGTGCATGTTTCTGACTTTCAATCTTTACTTTGTTTTAGTGTCTTCCTAAACATGTTAATGCCTTTGACCTAGTTTTCGTGTCTTCTCAAGCCTGTAAATGCCCTTGACCTTGTTTCAGCGTTTTCTTGAGCATGTAAATGTCCTTGACCTTGTTTCAGTGTCCCTTTGGGCCTGTAAATGTCCTTGACCTTGTTTCAGTGTTTTCTTGAGCATGTAAATGTCCTTGACCTTGTTTCAGTGTTTTCTTGAGCATGGTAAATGTCCTTGACCTTGTTTCAGTGTTTTCTTGAGCATGTAAATGTCCTTGACCTTGTTTCAGTGTCCCTTTAGGCCTGTAAATGTCCTTGACCTTGTTTCAGTGTCCCTTTAGGCCTGTAAATGTCCTCGACCTTGTTTCAGTGTCCCTTTAGGCCTGTAAATGTCCTCGACCTTGTTTCAGTGTCCCTTTAGGCCTGTAAATGTCCTTGACCTTGTTTCAGTGTCCCTTTAGGCCTGTAAATGTCCTTGACCTTGTTTCAGTGTCCCTTTAGGCCTGTAAATGTCCTCGACCTTGTTTCAGTGTCCCTTTAGGCCTGTAAATGTCCTCGACCTTGTTTCAGTGTCCCTTTAGGCCTGTAAATGTCCTTGACCTTGTTTCAGTGTCCCTTTAGGCCTGTAAATGTCCTTGACCTTGTTTCAGTGTCCCTTTAGGCCTGTAAATGTCCTTGACCTTGTTTCAGTGTCCTTTTAGGCCTGTAAATGTCCTTGACCTTGTTTCAGTGTCCCTTTAGGCCTGTAAATGTCCTTGACCTTTTTTCAGTGTCCTTTTAGGCTTGTAAATGTCCTTGACCTTGATTCAGTGTCCCTTTAGGCCTGTAAATGTCCTTGACCTTGATTCAGTGTCCATTTAGGCCTGTAAATGCCCTTGACATTGTTTCAGTGTTTTCTTGAGCATGTATATGTCCTTGACCTTGTTTCAGTGTCCCTTTAGGCCTGTAAATGTCCTTGACCTTGATTCAGTGTCTTCTTGAGGCTGAGTATGTTCTTGATGATTTTAGAGTCTCCATTTGACTGTGAATATCATAGACCTTTTTGATTTCTTTTTGAGACTGTATATGTCCTTTACCTTATTTCACTTTCACCTTGGAGAATGTGAATGTCCTTGACCATGTTTCAGCATCTCCTTGAGACTGAATTTCCTTTTTCTTCATTTCAGTGTCTCCTTGAGACAGTGAATGTCCTTGACCTCATTTGTAAGATTGACACTGGTCAGATATCAAAGGTATTCCAGGAGATTCGAAGACTGTATAACAGATTGTCCCAGGACTCAAGCAAGTCTCGCCTGCTTCTACCCATCCTACAGTTCTATATGAACCACAGTGAGTGTGAACTGCATACTGTAAAGGATTATTTGTATGTATATAATTTGCGATTTATGCCTGTTGGTTCTATAATTCACAAACAATGTATGTTTTATTTCCGAATAATCAACTTTGGGATTAAGAGGATGCTATTTCAGCATTGATAGTAGAAACTAGTTAGGTTGTCGATAACATTCACTTTCATGATATGATTTTTAAACAACTTGATTTCCGGATAAAGCTTGCCATTCATGAAATTTAACCCTCACGAATACGTCATCTTGCGAAAGATTTAGATTAGCAAATGAATCTCCTGACAAGTTAACGCAGAAATTTATTTCCAACAGGAAATAAACAACAGAAATTTATTTCCAACAGGAAATGAATAACAGAAATTTATTTCCAACAGGAAATAAACAACAGAAATTTATTTCCAACAGAAATTTAATGATTTGCACTACATATGCTGATTGCTGTGTTAAAATCTTACCCATTTGATTTGATAGAAGTCATTTGTTTAACAAAATGGTTTGACCATGTATAAAATACCAAGCATGGTCAGCAGGTGGTCCAAACAACTTTATGCTGTATCTATAAGGATAACTTTAGTCAAAACTGACCAACCAATATGTTGTTGTGTGACACATACAGGTAAGGCCATACTATGTGACTCATCACCTGCGTGGTTTTTGATACAGGTAAGGCTGTACTACATGACCCCCAGGAAGCCTACAAACTAGTCTTCCATGTAGTGTTATCCAGGTATTATATGGACAATGCCTTGGTGTTTGACATTGTCATGTTCCTGAGACAGAATCTGGAGGCCCTATGTCACGACACCAAAATTCTCTCCACTTACTTCCCCAATATCTTCAAGGTAAGTACAAGAACTGTCCATTTTCGCTGAAGCTCATAGGATGTGTTTGAAGATTTACTCACTCGAACTCATTTTGTCATCTTTCGTCGGATAAACTGTAAATACATATTAAGCATTGTAGAGGTATTTTAGGGCATATTTACTTATCTGTCCTAATGACAACTGCTACCTGATTAAAGTCATTAGTGTAATGAAAATTGTATCAATTATTTATCATGTGATATTGCCTAAATTGTGACATTAAAAATGTGGTGTTTGTGGTACAAGGAGTTACATGAACTGAAGACATTGGAAGGAAGAAAAGTTATGTAAATTTTATTTTATAACAGATCCTAGCATGGAACCCGCGGACCTATTTGAGCGAGTTTGAGGAACTTTTACCAGCTCTGATGTCACCCTCAACAGCACTTGAGGTACATCAGTGGTCTAATAGCATGAACAACTAGTGTTGTATCCAACCCGAATTATTTTGTGGTCATTGGGACCAGCTAAAATCGTTCACTTGCTAAGTTAGATGTTCAAGTACTGAAAGAAATTAGTTCTAGTATTGAAAGAGGAGGCACGGTAGCCTAGTGATAGGACGGCGGGCTCGTGACCGAAGGTTTGTGGGTTCGAGTCGAGTCACGACACTGTGTTGTATCCTTGAACAAGATACTTTACTCCGCTTGTTCCAGATTACTCAGCTGTAAATGAGTACGTAGTTGGGCAGTGCTAGAATTGTTGAAAGCTGGCTGTGAGTGCCGTAATGTCAGCACCAGCTGTATGCTCCCCAGGGAGTGGAGAACGATATTTGCCGGTTGCAAAGGCACTATAACCACGGATAATAGTTTGTGAACCACTTTGAGACGACCTACGAACTAGGTTGTGATAAAGCGGTATATAAATTAATATTATTATTAAAGAAAATTAGCTTTATGAAAACATTTGTTGCAGAGCATCATTCACAAAATAACATACTTCAAGACAGTATTTGATATTACAAATTATTTGAATATCTGAATAGCAATGGTTAATTTAACTCAGTGTGGCATCCATCGTTAATGTCACAAGATGATACCATAATGACATGTATTACATTTTTGTGCAGATTCTGCATGTCCTACTGGACCTGCCATGTATGACGATTGCCCTGGAGGTGACCGAACGGTTGGGTGGGAAAGGAGAGCCGCTCGGTCAGTCCGACACGGATCCCACCTCAACTGTGGAGGCATTCCAACACCTGTTCTACAGGCCCATGTTTAACTTCTTCACGCGGGTGGAAGGTGGTCACGGGGACACCATCAACAGGTCAGGTTTCTATCTTGTTACGGCCCCACACCAGCGATCGATGCTGGTGCCCCATTAGTATAAAGGTGTCTGTTAGTCCTTTCCGGAGATTATCTCGGGTTCAAAAATATCAAAATTTAACATGTTGATACACTGTGGTATGTAGATATGCTGTAGGAGTTTAATAATTTCCTTAAGTTCAAGGTCACTGTTTCTAATAATAGAACATGGGATAAACAGTAAATTGTATTTTATCATTCTTTCCATGGGTTTTTCTCCGGGTACTCCAGTTTCCTCCCACATTAAGACCCCATGCGTGCTAAGGCCTGGGTCAACAAGAGGGATTAACATCAATTGATGAAAATACATGGTATTTCTCCTTCTCTACAAATACATTGTACTAATATCATGCTAAAATATATCTGTTGATGGACTAATGGTGGCAGTATAACTGGATTTTACTGTAGACCTTTCATCGTACATATTGGTGAACTATTTAATCGCTTGTTACTGACTTGGCTAAGCAAAATTTCATTACAACTCAATCAATGCTGGACAAAGCATTAGACTGATTATCTTTAGTCTGAGGCGGCACCCCAGGTTCTACTCCTAACTGTACTGTAGCACTCGGAAAAAGTGACCTCGGCCACACTATAGAAGTTTCTTATAACATGTGTATATTTCCTAGTAGTTTTTCGCATAAAAAGTAAAATTACTGATATTGAAATGTCTCTAGTGATAGGGTCATGTGAACAAAAAGTGTTCGATTCGGGTTCTGTTCAAATTTGGGTTTTGTCACATTTGAGAGAAGTTCATTAAGCCAGATGACTTGTATCTCTTCCGAATACATGTATGGTATAGGTTTGATATTGATGTCTTTTCTGTTTGGCAGACTAGCAAGCTTCCACAGTGCTGTGAAGGATATGAGTCAACACCCTCGTGTCATCGTGTGTTCACAGACCGTGCCTGTCCTCCTCAGGTATAGCTCTATTGTAATCATGCATGTCCTTCTAAAATTATGGCTCAGTTAAGTTGTTCAAAGTATGATAGCATATACCATGTACCAAGTTCACTCAAATTTATCATGGAAATATTGTCAAGTATACTGAATGAATAAGAATTTCATATATGGAATTTAAAAAAAAAAAGTTTTTTTTTTTTTTTTTTTTTTTTTTTTTTTTTANATTACAATATAATTTCAGAATAACGAATTGTTTAACAAAAGCTTCATTTCTTATTTATGATTTTAACCCTGATTAGCTCATTGTGAAGTTAAATAAGAATTTCATGTGTTCTGTCTTCTTACATTATGATAAAAAAAAATAAACATTAAAAAATATTGAACTCTTAACTTTTAATGCAGGTAATATCTTTGTAAACAAAACATTGTACTAAGGTAGTATGAATTAGAAAAATGAATTAGAAAAATGTTTTCATTTAGTTAATTTTGATATTTCTTGTGTTACTAGGGTCTGGTTTGAGGTGGTGCTAGAGGAGGGAACAACGGACTTCGCAGCCCATTTACTTCCTGTTCTACTGGAGCGGTCGGCACTCCTGTACGACATGCCAGACTTCAAAACAGATATTAAAAGGTAGAGACCTTGCTATGGTAAATGAGTTTGTAGCTAGCAATACTGTTGCACACCTACATAGATATTCAAAATTATGTTTTAATACATGTTTCTTTATTTACATTCAAAGTAAGAAAATTGTATTTTATCATTCTGCCCATGGGTTTTTCTCCGGGTACTCCGGTTTCCTCCCACATTAAGACCCTATGCGCGCTAAGGCCTGGGTCAACAAGAGGGATTAACATCAATTGATGAAACTTGTTTCATAATTGTTGTAGGATAAATAAGTTTTATTTAAATCTTTTTGGGTAGTTTCTTTTGGGTCGTTGTATATATTCAACAAAATTTGGTAGAACAGCCATTTTTGTGAGTATAGCAGTAAAGCGATAAAATGCAATGAAATTATTATGAGTTAACAAGCAAGCATCTTTGGTGTCATTACCGAGGGTTCCTAATGTTAGCTACTTGTATTTGTTTTCTAGAATCTTGTCTGAGAATGTTGTCCGGTTGTTCAAGAGGTTTCCACAGATCCTCGTTGAGGAGCAAACAGAGATACAGGATTTTATCACGAGTGTTTCCAACATCACGGGACGTGAGGAATTCTTTGCAAACATGGTAAGAGTATACCTAGGGTACAGTCGCGTATCCGGTTGAAACGGTTGAACCTGTTGAACCTGTAAAGAAAACGACAGGTACAGATCTGGACCGAGGCTGGCCTGAGGAAAATTTGGAACGTGTAGATTGAGGGGTCCAGACGTACCTGACCGAAACTAAAATGCTGATTATTGCTAGTTTGCGTTATTTCTTCTTAGAATAATGTCAAGCCACATGTAGTTTTCAAGATACGTTATGTAGTTCAGTGGACGTGTGAAAGAAGGGCATATTATTATTGATACACTTTTTTTTTATTCTCCGAAACTGTGCATTTTTAGCTCTGCTTATAGAACGGTCCAAGTGCGTTCGTTTATCATGGAAAATTTCTTCGTCACATGTACCGTCTCAATCGGGGATAAGCGAATGTAGCCCTACTATTTTGTGACAGATCCAGGGTTTGGTGAACAAGTGGCAGTTTCCTGAAATTTTCTGTCATTTCCGAAATAAACATGTTCAAGAGCTGTAAAATCCATGTTCCACCAACATTCAACTCAGAGTCCTTCCCTAGATGAAATAAAACGGATAAAAACAAGAAGTAAAAGATAAAGATTTGCCCCTTTTTTTCACCAACATCTATATTTGTCAAACTGCAAAGAAAAATGTCGCACGGTGATTGGTCGAATTGCCAAGGTACCTGAAGCTATGTTAGTATCCTTGCCGGGGTACATAAGAACACGCGCGCCTGTTGTAAGGGAGATAATTTGAAGTTTGTCTGCTAATGTCAACAATCAACAATAAGGCGAAACGGTTTGTTAAGGAACTGAGTTGTTATTTAATGTTGTTTCAAAACCATATTGTTGACTTATTATAATTTAAAAATTTATTAAATTGTTGGAATTATACAAAAATAGTTTTTTCTGTTTTCCCATACTACTGCCCTACACAGTATCTGTTTTCTGGCAAACACAAGTCCCAACCTATAAATGGCTTTGCAGTATGACAAATTCATTATACAGGTCTTTGGCAGGAAACATGGTCTCATGTTCGCTGTCAGTACTTGTACCCTGAGCCGAAGGCGAAGGGTACATAAGGTCCTGACAGCGAACATGAGACCATGTACCCTGTCAAAGACCTGTATAACTAATAATGTTCATATATTATATTGCAGAGAAGCTAAGAAGCTAATTATCTTTGCACAATAATATTAAATCGGCAGTCTAGATAATTCATGTATAATTATAGGTTTATTGTATGGCTTGTAATGTTTACTTGTTGTTAATCTTCATCAGTATAAGAATGCCTGTTCTAATCACACATGTTGTTTACTCAAAGAGCCATTGAACTTATTATGCAGACTTAAGCTTTGCTCAGGTGACCTTTTCTAATCGCTTTTCGTCCGTCGTCATCCGTCGTCCGTCGTGCGTCGTGCGTAAACTTTTACATTTTCAACTTCTTCTCAAGAACCAGTGGATGTATTTTTTTTTAAACTTGGTCAGAATCATCCTTGGTAGATGAGGCTTCAAAATTGTAAAATTGAGAATCCTACTTAAACCCCTGGGGCCAGGGCGGGGCCCCAAAGGGAAAATTAACCAATATTTCAAAAATCTTCTTCTTCAGACTCAGAGGTACTACACTCATTTTCTCTGCGTGGAAAGAAAGATCATCAGGGGCTTTACTTAAATTGTAAATTTCAGGACCCCCGACCTATCCGTTCTCCCTTGGGGAGGGGGTAAAGTTTACTATAGTTTATATAGGGAAATAACACTTTTGGGTATATTTTGACAACTTTCTGT